CGGGCTCGGGCTGCAGACGGACAGGCAGCCAGAGCGACAGACGCTGCTGCTGTCTCGGAGTTCTTGCCAAAGTCGCGGTTTCTGAGGGCCTTATCTCACCGCAAAATGCATCGGGTGTTTGCCCGTCTGGTTTGCTTACAGACCGTACTAATCTAATTGCAATTAAATCAGTTGAGCGCGATCTTCATTTTCTCTTTTTGTCCTATTTCCTCTCAGTCTAGCCAAGTAGTCTGGCTCAGATAACGCTTTTTCTCCATGTCCCGAGGGTGTGCCTTACTTCTGGCATATCAGTGCAAGCCTTCCGTGGGGGTGTGTGTGGATTTATCGCGGCTCGTGTGCCGCACTCACCAACCCCGAGGGCACGTACTCCAGCGCAGAGCTCTGCGCAGGCAGTGTGCGGGGAGCCAGCAAACCCGCTTCAGACCACACCATCCTGGCATTCCAGTGATCCTTTGCTCTAAGTTGCTTTTCAAGGTGTATGTTTAATGTCTGACAGAATTCTGTGTGGTAATTGTAAGCTTATGAGAAGTATAACAGTTGTAGCACCGTGTATCTGGCTCAGTCACCAGAATCTGTAAGCAGCCACAGCTTCTGGCGCTTACAATTTCAACATGTTTTCCAGTGTAAAACTTGAGGAGAAGTATTCACTGAATTTTTCTTTTCCTATTGAGAATGGATGTGTACAGGGAGACGAGAGGTAGGTAACAAAGTAGATGCTTTGTCGATACATTTTGAACGAGCTGGGAGGGCGCTAGAGACCCATTCCTTAAGTCCGGAGCCAGGAGATAAGAAGGAGCGAAGGTGAAGTGATTGAGTGGAGCTGAGGATCATAGGTTTGGAGCCCGAAGTCGGGATGGCAATAGCAAGCCAGGCAGAAAGAGGCCTCAGGCAAAGCAGTGCAGTTACTGCAGTTGCTGTTCATGGCAGAGTCTTGCTGTGTTTCTGGAGTGAGGTTAAACTTCAGAGTATGAGCAAAAGCAAAGCGAGTGGGTAGACACCTATTGAATGATGGACATGTATGTTTAACTTGCAGCTGATGGGGAGAGTTCTTGAATCCTTACTGTACCTTTTGTAATGCTGAGGCAGCTATTGGCTTCCTCCTCACACCATCCCCAGAATTGCCTGGAGAGCTCTTTGCTGAGCCAGCTGTGCTCCCATGGAGACCTGAGCCAACAGCAGCCACCAGAGAAATAGGGCAGTTCTCAGCTGAACCAGCTGCAGAAACCTAAGGAAGTTATTATTAGCCAAAATGCAGATAACTGTTCTTTTCAAACTCAGAGTGAAACACTGATGTAGGCTACAAGAACAGAAGTATAAACAAGGTGCAGGTGCCATCCTTTTCAAAGTCCATAGGATTTTTATTTCTGTAGGAACTCCATGCTCATTTGAATGGCTGTATCAGCACTGCTACTATGAAGAAACTCATGGCCCAGAAGCCAAACCTTCAGATCCAGAATGGAATGACTGTGATTGACAAAGGAAAGAAAAGAACCTTAGATGAGTGAGTATATGCATGTGGGTGATGAACATTTACCAAAGGTTTTTTATTTAAGTTGGAAACAGAAATGTATGGCCTTACACACTAACTGCAGAAAACATGCTTTTAAGATTTACAGCATAATCTCATATATCTTTTTGATATTTGTATCTACAAAGTAATTCCTTCAGTGCTTGCAAACTAAAAGGGAAACTCTTGTTGATTCATTTCTTCTTTAAAGGATTGAAATTCTTCACTTAGATCATCTGCTTTTCATAGAAAATTGATGCACATAGTTTCCTTTTTTGGAAACTTCATGTTTTCCTTTTCCTTCAAAAAGTTTTGTGGTAGTTACAACTTTTGTTGTGAATGCTTTGTTAGTATCTAAAATCCGAAATTGCCGTTTGGATGTTTCTCTGTATTTCAAGCTACAGTCTGGTTAGTTGACTCCAGTGGGCAGGTGTTTTTAAAATGTAGATTTTTTTTTTCTACGTACTCTTTCAGTGTCTTTCCAATTAATTTTTTACATTTTATTTTAGATGTTTTCAGATGTTTCAGATCATCTATCAGGTTACCACGAGGACTGAAGATATTTTACTGGTAAATTAATTAAAAGTTCACTTCAAACAAGCAAGCAGTACACACAGTCACAATCAGTTGGATTAAGAGCATTGGGTTCCAAGTAAAAATATAAAAAATTATCTTTTTCAGTTGAAGGTCAAAATAATTATTGTAAAACTCCTGAACTCTCTTCACTATCCCTGAAGGAATCAAATATTCCCTCTCTGTGGTAGTATTTCCACAGACATGGGGACCATTAAAAACACATTGGGCCTGAAAACATTGCAAGTGTTTCACAACAAAAAACAACTGGGATTTTAGTTGTAAATGAAAATATAACTAATTATAAGTATCACTTTTATTATGTTGAACACACTTTTACTTAATCAGATAACTAAAGATGTCATTAAAGAATTTGCTGATGATGGTGTTAAATATCTGGAATTGAGAAGCACTCCAAGAGAAGAAAATGCCACAGGTACAGTCTTTTCTGGTTTTTAATTTGTGATCTTCTTGCACTATAAAACTTAGTTGAAAACTATGTTAATAACAAGTAAAGTCAAATTTAGTTGCCTCAATAAAAATATACTTTAAGTATGAAAACTGAGATTTAACCATGTAAAAAGTATGTCACTTTCCTGTTAGATTTTTGAGGAACAAAAGGGGCTGGTCATAAGTCTATGACCCATGAGATTGGGTTATTCACTTGAATATGGCATCTGAGTCTGCTAATATTTTTAAAAGCTGATATATTGTACTTTTTTATTTTCGTTTTTTCTTCTAGGTGTGGTTTAGTAGAAACACATAATAGAAGTCTTATTGTGATTCTCTGATTCACACAAATTAGGAAGAGTTTTACTTCAAATATGTACTTCACAGTAAAGCTGTATTTACAGACAGAATTAGAATTACATGGGTTAGAAGACTGTATCATCTAAAATTAAAGGTGCAACATGAAACTTAGGAAACTAGAGAGCTGGATCTGCAATATAATAAAAATAATTTAAAATATGTTTGTTCCAAACGTGTGCATGTGTTTGCAGGTATGACCAAAAGGATGTATGTTGAAACTGTACTTGAGGGTATAAAGCAGTGTCAAGAGGAAGGCTTGGATATAGATGTAAGGTAAATAAAGCATGTGGAGCACCTCTGTGTCAAGGCTTTGTGTAGTCTGATGCTTGGTCATGCTTCCAGAGAGGTTTACAAGCCATCAGTATAGGAAAGAAAAATGGTTTTAAACCAGATTATATGGAAAGGAAACAGGTAATTAAAATAGGGACCTGACTTTTTATCTTCTTTTTTACTGGTAAAGAGGAAAACCGGGTAAAACCTCTCATCTTTAAGACTGTCCATTCTTTGCAACATTTTCAGGAAAAGAACTGTTTTTCATGGAATAGGCTCCTTTTTTCACAGCTCAGCTTCATTGCAAAGATTTGTTTGATTAGCTGTACAAGCACCTACTGCAAAGAAGAGCTGGTCTTGAGCAGCAGAGAAGTTTCAGAAGGTGTCAGTGGCTGTTTGGAGAGTTTGCTCTCCTGTCTTTTAGAGCCTCTGTAGCAAGCTTTGCTAGATTTATTTGTAGAAACTGAAGAATTTTCATCCTTCGTGTTTGTTATTGCATATCATGGGCCAACTTCTTTCTCTGTGGCCCTCTGCACTTTGGTACCTTAATTCCTAGTACAGTTTCCTATACAAATACTCTTTATACTCAGCCATGAAGTATAAAGAATATTTGTATAGGAAAGTGTTCTAGGAATGAAGGATTGCAAAGGAATGCATTTTTTGTTGGTGTCAGATCTATTGAGCTCCTGGTATTACAGCTTGTATATAGTTTAATGATAATTTAATTTAATAATTTAATGCATTTCTGTCCCAGGCTGTTAATAGCAATAAACAGAAGAGATGGTCCAGCAGTTGCTAAGCAGACTGTTAAAC